GGTGCGCACGCGCGCGCGTGTGTTAGTGTGGTTGTGTGTGGGGGCGTGTGTGTGTGCGTGCGTGGGTGCCTGCGTGTGTGTGTATGGGTGCGTGTGTGCGTGCGTGCAGGCATGGGCGCTCGGGCGTGGGCGTGCGGGCGTGGGCGTGCGAGCGTGGGCGTGCGGGCGTGGGCGTGCGTGCTTGGGTGTGTGGGCGTGCGGGCGTGCGTGGGTGGGTGCGCACGAGTGCGTGTGTGTTTGTGTGGGTGTGTGTGGGGGCGTGTGGGTGGTGCGTGCGTGGGTGCCTGCGTGTGTGTGTATGGGTGTGTGTGCGTGCAGGCATGGGCGTGCGGGCAGGCGTGCGGGCGTGGGGCGTGCGGGCGTGCGTGGGTGCTTGGGTGTGTGTGTGTGGGCGTGTGGGGGCGTGTGTGGACGTGCGTGCATGCGTGCGGGCGTGGGCGGGCGGGCGTGTGTGTGTGGGTGTGTGTGTGGGCGTGTGTGGGGCGTGCGTGTGTGCGGGGCGTTAGCGGGCGAGCAGGCAGGCGGGCGTGCGGGCGGCGTGTGTGTGTGTGTGTGTGTGTGTGGGTGTGTGGGGGGGGGGGGCGTGTGTGGGCTTGCTTGTGGGCGTGTGTGTGGGGCGTGCGTGGGTGCGTCCGTGCGTGTGTATGGGTGTGTGTGTGTGGCGTGCGTGCAGGTGTGGGCGGGCGGTGTGTGGGCGTGCTTGGGTGTGTGTGTATGTGTGTGGGTGTGTGGGCGTGTGTGCGTGCGTGAGTGTGTGCGTGCGTGCGGCCGTGTGGGCGTGCGTGTGTGTGTGTGTGTGTGTGGGTGTGTGGGTGTGTGTGGGGGGAGGGGCGTGTGTGGGCGTGCGTGGGTGCGTCCGTGCGTGTGTATGGGTGTGTGTGCGCGTGCGTACAGGTGTGGGCGTGCGTGCGTGCGTGCGTGCTTGGGTGTGTGTGTATGTGTGTGGGTGTGTGGGCGTGTGGGTGCGTGGGTGCGTGCGGGCGTGTGGCCGTGTGGGCGTGCGTGGGTGTGGGCATGTGTGTGTGTGTGCGTGCGTGCGTGGGTGTGTGTGTGTGTGTGCGGGCGTGTGGGTGTGTGGGCGTGCGTGGGTGCGTGCGTGGGTACGTGCGCGTGCGCATGCGTGCGTGTGCGTGTGCGGGCGGGCGGGGCGTACGTGCGTGCGTGCGTGTGTGTGTGGGTGGGTGGGTGGGTGGGTGGGTGTGGGGGGGCGTGTGGAGGCGTGTGCGAACGTGCGTGCTTGCGGGCGCGCGCGTGTGTGTGTGCAGGCGTGTGGGAGCGGGTGCGTGTGGGCATGCGTGTGGGGCGTGCGTTCGTGTGCGGGGCTGGGCGTTGTGTGTGGGCGTGCGTGTGGGCGTGCGTTCGTGTGCGGGCTGGGCGTGTGTGGGTGCGTCCATGCGTGTGTATATGTGTGTGTATGTTCGTGCGTGTAGGCGTGGGCGTGCGTGCGTGCTTGGGTGTGTGGGCGTGTGGGCGTGCGTAGGCGCATGCGTAGGTGCGCACGCAGCGCGCGCGTGTGTTTGTGTGGTTGTGTGTGGGGGCATGTGGAGGCGTGTGTGTGGGCGTGCGTGGGTGCCTGCATGTGTGTGTATGGGTGTGTGTGTGCGTGCAGGCATGGGCGGGCAGGCGGGCGTGGGCGTGCGGGCGTGCGTGCATGCTTGGGTGTGTGTGGGTGGGCGGGCGTGTGCGTGCGTGTGTGGGCGTGTGGGCGTGCGTGCATGTGTGTGTGTGTGCGTGCGGGCGTGGGCGGGCGTGTGTGTGTGTGTGTGTGTGTGTGTGTGTGTGTGTGTGTGTGTGTGTGCGGGCGTTAGCGGGCGGGGCGGCGTGCTTGTGTGTGGGGGGGGGGGGCGTGTGTGGGCTTGCTTGTGGGCGTGTGTGTGGGCATGCGTGGGTGTGTCCGTGGGGGCGTGCGTGCGTTCGTGCTTGGGTGTATGTGTGTGGGTGTGTGGGCGTGCGTGTGTGCGTGTGTGCGTGCGTGCGGCCATGTGGGCGTGTGTGCGAGCGTGCGTGCGAGCGTGTGGCCGTGCATGGGTGTGGGCGTGTGTGGGCGTGTGTGTGTGTGCGTGTGTGTGCATGCGTGCGTGCGTGTGTGTGTGTGTGTGTGCGGGCGTGTGGGTGTGTGGGCGTGCGTGGGTGGGTGCGTGCGTGGGTACGTGCGCGTGCGCTGTGCGTGCGTGTGTGGGCGGGCGGGCGTACGTGCATGCGTGTGTGTGGGGGGGGGGGTGTGGGGGGGCGTGTGGAGGCGTGTGTGGGCGTGCGTGCGTGTGGGCGTGCGTGTGTGCGTGCGTGTGTGTGCGTGCGTGCAGGTGTAGGTGGGCGTGCGTGCGTGCTTAGGTGTGTGTGTATGTGTGTGGGTGTGTGGGCGTGTGTGGGTGGGTGCGTGCGTGCGGGCGTGTGGCCGTGCATGGGTGTGGGCGTGTGTGGGCGTGGGTGCGTGTGTGTGTGTGTGTGTGTGCATGCGTGCGTGCGTGGGTGTGTGTGTGTGTGCGGGCGTGTGGGCGTGCGTGGGTGCGTGAGTGCGTGGGTACGTGCGCGTGCGAGTGCGTGCGTGCGGGCGGGCGGACGTACGTGCGTGTGGAGGGGGGGGGGGCGTGTGGAGGCGTGTGTGGGCGTGCGTGTGTGCGTGCGTATGGGCGTGCGTGTGGGCGTGCGTGTGGGCGTGCATGTGGGCGTGCGGGCGGCCGGCCGTGCGTGCGGCCTTGCGTGCGTGTGCGTGTGTATGGGTGGGTGTGGGGGGGTGCGTGTGCGTCCGTGCGTGGGTGCGTCCGTGCGTGTGTATGGGTGTGTGTGCGCGTGCGTACAGGCGTGGGCGTGCGTGCTTAGGTGTGTGTGTATGTGTGTGGGTGTGTGGGCGTGTGGGCGTGTGTGGGGTGTGTGCGTGCGGGCGTGTGGCCGTGCATGGGTGTGGGCGTGTGTGTGCGTGCGTGTGTGTGTGTGTGTGTGTGTGTGTGTGTGTGTGTGTGTGCATGCGTGCGTGCATATGTGTGTGTGTGTGCGGGCGTGTGGGTGTGCGGGCGTGTGTGGGGTACGTGCGTGTGCGCGTGCGTGTGTGCGGCGGCGGGCGGGCGGGCGTACGTGCGTGTGTGTGGGTGTGTGGGTGTGTGGGGGCGTGTGGAGGCGTGTGCGGGCGTCCGTGCTTGCGAGCAGGCGGGCGTGCGTGCATGCTTGGGTGTGTGTGTGTTTGTGTGTGTGTGTGCGGGTGTGTGCGTGTTCGTGCGTGCGCGTGTGCGGGCGTTAGCAGGCGGGCGGGAGTGCGGGCGACGTGTGTGTGTGTGTTAGGGGGGGCGTGTGTGGGCTTGCGTGTGGGCGTGTGTGGGCGTGCGTGTGGGCGTGCGTGTGGGCGTGCATGTGGGCGTGCGGGCGGGCGGCCGTGCGTGCGGCCTTGCGTGCGTGTGTGCGTGCGTGTGTGTGTGTGTGGGTGGGTGTGGGGGGTGCGTGTGCGTCCGTGCGTGGGTGCGTCCGTGCGTGTGTATGGGTGTGTGTGCGCGTGCGTACAGGCGTGGGCGTGCGTGCTTAGGTGTGTGTGTATGTGTGTGGGTGTGTGTGGGCGTGTGGGCGTGTGTGGGTGTGTGCGTGCGGGCGTGTGGCCGTGCATGGGTGTGGGCGTGTGTGCGCGCGCGCGCGTGTGTGTGTGTGTGTGTGTGTGTGTGTGCATGCGTGCGTGCATATGTGTGTGTGTGTGTGCGGGCGTGTGGGTGTGCGGGCGTGTGTGGGTACGTGCGCGTGCGCGTGCGTGTGTGCGGGGCGGGCGGGCGGGCGTACGTGCGCGTGTGTGGGTGTGTGGGTGTGTGGGGGCGTGTGGAGGCGTGTGCGGGCGTCCGTGCTTGCGAGCAGGCGGGCGTGCGTGCATGCTTGGGTGTGTGTGTGTTTGTGTGTGTGTGCGGGTGTGTGCGTGTGCGTGCGGTGCGCGTGTGCGGGGCGTTAGCAGGCGGGGGCGGGAGTGCGGGCGACGTGTGTGTGTGTGTTAGGGGGGGGCGTGTGTGGGCTTGCGTGTGGGCGGTGTGTGGGCGTGCGTGTGGGCGTGCGTGTGGGCATGCGTGGGTACGTCCGTGCGTGTGTATGGGTGTGTGGGTGTGCGTGCGTGCAGGCGTGCGGGGTGTGCGTGCGTGCAGGCGTGCGGGGTGTGCGTGCGTGGGTGTGTGTGTATGGGTGTGGGTGTGTGGGCGTGTGTGGCGTGGCGGGCGGGCGGGCTGGCGTGGGTGCGCACGCGCGAGTGTGTGTGTGTGTGGGCGTGCGTGGGTGCGTGCGTGGGTGCCTGCGTGTGTGTATGGGTGTGTGCGTGCGTGCGTGCGGGCATGGGCGGGTGGGCAGGCGGGGAGCGGGGGCGTGTGTGCATGTGGGCGTTTGTGCGTGCGTTCGTGCGTGTGGGCTTGCGTGTGTGTGTGCGTTTGTGCGGGCGTGCGGGCGTGCGTGTGTGGGCTTGCGTGTGTGTGTGCGGGCATGCGGGCGTGCGGGCGTGCGTGTGTGGTTTTGCGTGTGTGTGCGTGCGTGTGGGCGAGCGTGCGTGTGGGCTTGCGTGTGTGCGGGCAGGCGGGCGGGGCTGCGCGCGCGGTGTATGCGTACGGCGTGCATGTGTGCGTGTGTGCGTGCGTGCGTGCGGGCGTGCTTCTGGGCGTGCGTGTGTGCGTGCGGGCGGGGCGTGCGGGCGGGCTTCTGGGCGTGCGTGTGTGCGTGCGGGCGGGGGCGGTCGTAAGGGCGTGCGTGCGTGTGTGCAGGCTTGCGTGCGGGCGTGTGTGTGTGCGTGCGTGCGTGTGTGTGGGCTTGCGTGCGTGCGTGGCTGTGTGTGTGTGTGCGTGTGTGCGTGGGCTTGCGCGTGTGTGTGCGTTTGTGCGTGCGTGCGTGCGGGCGTGCTTGCGTGTGTGTGCGTGCGTGCGGGCGGGGCTGTGGGCGGGTGGGCGGTGTCACAGACTTATTCTCAAGACCCGTGCAGCACTAGCACACTCACTCAAACTATGCTAGTCAGCCTAACTTCTAAGGACACCGATTGTGGAGAAACGTGTACAATGCTTTATTGCTCTCAAATGCTTGATTACTCGATAGTTGGATGATTACAAATGAGCCAACCTTGAGGGGTATTTATACTTGGACTCCTCCTCAATGGACGGCTTAGATCTACTTGATCTAACGGCTACAATTCATCTCTATACTACTCTACAATATTCTAGAGTATTCCACTATACTCTATACAAGTATACTTCTATCTACATGAGTCTAGAATATTCTATAAGCCTCCGGAAATCTGCCCCTTCCTCTTAGGCATCTCTAGACTCCAGCTTGTCCTTTGCCCCCACATGCTGCGGCGTAACCCTGCCATGCCGCGGCGTATCACTTTGCCACGCCGCAGCGTACTTGCCTTCCATGCCGCGGGGCACTTGCCTGCCATGCCGCGGCCCGAAGTGCCTGCTATGCCGCGACATACTTCGATATTTGGGAGAGTCGTCACATTCTCCCCCGCTCAATCTCACGATGTCCTCGTCGTGGTCTTCTTGTAAGCCTCTTCTCGGGACGACTCGACTGTGGCTCTCTTCTGCGAGCCTCAATTTCCTCCGCTTGGCATTGGCCCACTTCTTCTTTTCCTTCGTGGACTTTGCTAAGTATGCTCTGGCCCCGTCGGCTTTTCCATGCCATTCCTTGGCAAACTTTGATGCAGACGGCCTTGGTCCTTGTTGACCCATGGCCCTAATGTCCCCACACCTCTTGGACTTGGGCAAATACGCGACAAAGTCCCTAGAAATGCTTCCTCTTTGCTTCTCCGGTGTGGGTAATGGTTCCCGCAACCCCGCGGGTTGATGGTGCCCAACCCATCTTGAACCATGGCGCAACTTGGTGGTCTTCTTCCCTAGGCCTTGCTGTTTTGGTTCGTAGACTCGGTCTTCCCTTGTTGCTAGCAACCCCTCCCTTGGCCGAAATTGGCGTGTCTTACCTTGACTTGCCAAGTTCTTCAATCCCTTGGCCTTAGGGTCTAGCTCAAGTCCTTCCTTGACTTGTTCCACCAAAGGGAAACTCGACCTCTTATTGGCGGCTAGCTTGGCTTCCTTACTTTGCGCACCCGCCACGTTGTTCCTCTCCATCTTTTCTATATTGGGTGGAAGTCTCCTCGGCAACCCGGACATCACCACGTCCTTTGCCCTCACATGTGCCTTAGCCACCCTCTTAGCCGTATCACTCATCGGCATTGGTTCCTCCTTCAAAGTGGCTAGGTTATGTTGCCGCCTTCCCGTGCCCTCAACAACTTGCATGGACGAGATTTGCTTGGACTGGCTCCTCTCCTCTCGAGACAGTTTCACCGTGCAATTCTCGCCCTCTCCTAGTATGCACATAGTGTTGGCAAATGGAATCGGTATTGCCTTCACCGAATCCATAAACTCCATGCCCAACACTATAGGATAGTCGTCCATATCAACGACCGTGAAGTCTACCAAACCACTCCACTCTCCCAAGGCAACCTTCACACCCCGAGCCACTCCGTAGATTGACATAGGTTGTGAGTTTACGGCTTTTAGTCGACCCACGTCTGCCTCATATGGGATTCCCAATCTCCTTACTTCGTCGATTTCAAGGAAGTTGTGTGAAGCGCCGGTATCTATTAAAGCTTTAATAGGTTGTCCACGTACCTTGGCTTCAATGAACAAACGTCCCCTCTTCTTCGCCTTGGGCTCGGTTACCTTGGCTTGCATAGCGTTGAGGAGTCTAAGGGAACCAACCGTAGCTTCCTCTCGTTCCCGCTCTTCCCTTTCCTCAACTAAGGCCGAGAGCTTGGCCTTCTTCGGGCAATCCCTTGCCATGTGCGGCCCATCACAAAAGAAGCACGTCAATGGTCTCTTTTCCCATTCATTGGTCTCCTTTTGCCCCTTGTTCTTCTCAAAGCGTTGGAAACCTTCTTTGTGAGCACGATGGTCTCCCCCACTCTTTTCCTCAGCCCTTTCCTTAGGTGGCGACCTCTCCCTCTTCGGTTTCTTGAACTCCACCAAGGACTCGGCAATGGCAATGGCAATGTCGAGATCTCTAGCCCCACGCCTTTGGTGTAACACCGTCCCCAAATGTATTTACTTTTATGTGAATATTATATTTTAACCTTATGGAATGGTTAAAGAAATTATGATGTTACGAATTTTTTTTATTAATTCTTTCGCACGAATAGTAAATTCGCACGTGAGGCCCGCCCGGAAGCGGGGGCCGCCCGATATTCCCGGGACCACATAAATTATTCATCTTAGTCTAGATAATAATTATATGGTGGTGGATAATTCATTTGAACCATGGAAAGGTCCAGAGTTGACCGATTGGTCAAGAGAGGCACAAATACCGGTATTGACGATTTTACCGATAAATGTCCGAAATTGAATTTCGGGGACTTATAAATTAAAGTTGGGGAATGAATATTCATTATAAGGTTCATGTTGGTTAAAGAGCATGTAAAATATTTTATTTGACCCGATAAAATAAAATATAACAAAAACTGTCCGAAAAATACAACTTTCGGGACCGATTGTACACTTCGGGACAAAAGGGGTTGACCTCCCACATGAGTGGGGGCCAACCCACGATTTTGGCCACAAAATGGAGGCTGATTTGTCTCAAACAAGGTCTGAAAACCTTGAGATGATGGGGGAGACCATTTTGACATCCTAAGGACCCCATCCTCACTCATTTGGCAAGAAAGCCAAAAAGAAAATCTCACCCCTCTCTCTCTCACCCCCCATCTCGGCCAGCACCCAAGAAAGAAGCAAGAGTAATTTTCCATCCTCCATTCTCCATCTTTGAAGAGAGCTCAAGCTTAAGGAGTCCAAAAGGAGGTCTTTGAGAAGGAAAAAGTGAGGAGAAAGTGAGAAGGGTTAAGGTAAAGACCTTATATTAACTTTTCCTTTATTTTTCTTCTATCATATGAGATATATATCATATGAAGACCCTTGAGAATGGTTCTACATGATTAAGTGTAGAATGATGGGTTGGAAAGTGGTTCTAGGTCCAAGAACGGATTTAGAAGTCAAAACGACCGGTTTACCGGAAAATAACCTTTAGAGGTTATTTGTATTGATTAAGGTTTTATGATGTTAAAACCTTGTTAGGGACTTGACTTAAGCATTTTTGAACCTCGCCGGAGTTTCGCCGGAGTTGGTCAAAGTACGCCGGAGTTGGTCAAAGCTCGCCGGAATTAGTCAAAGTTCAAATCGGGGAACGTAAAACGCGCTTAAGCTCACTTAAGGTGAGGATGACCGACTATATTGCTTATAATTATTGGGTTAATTTCATAAGATTATCTAAATGAATTATATGTGTTTGGCATGATGTATTTATAATAATAAAATGCCTAAATGAGATTTTTATTGTTCATAAGCAAAAAATGCATAATATACAAATTTATGAATAAATTGTGTATGATTATGTGTTATGAATACAATGGTATAATAGTTGTGTAAACTATAAACTAAATTGTGATAAATATACTTTTACCTCATATGAGGAAGTCATGGAAGGATAAAAGTGATATTTTGATATTAGAGCCAAGTTATACTTGAATGTGGAATTTAATTGAGATATTCAAATTATTATGAACTTAAGTTACATTTGGAGTAGGCCTTAAGGGTTACTCAAAATGGATGGAACCTAGACTAAGAAGTGGTTTAGGGATTAGTTGACGTGACTATGAGCCGAGCTCTAGCACGTGGTAGCATGACTATGAGCCGAGCTCTAGCAAACGTAGGGTGACTATGAGCCGAGCTCTAGCACAAATTAGTATGACTATGAGCCGAGCTCTAGCAAACGTAGGGTGACTATGAGCCGAGCTCTAGCACAATTTTAGTATGACTATGAGCCGAGCTCTAGCGAATGTAGTGTGACTATGAGCCGAGCTCTAGCACAATTTAGCATGACTATGAGCCGAGCTCTAGCATGAAGGAACATGAGTTAAGTACAAATGAATAACATCTTGGATTGAGGGTCTTGGAAATTGAAACTTTGATTATACTTAGTATAGTTGTCATTGTACTTGTCAAATGCTTCCAAGTACTGACCTCCCCTTCACGGGGGAGGCCACCTCACAGTTTCAGGTAGGGAGTAGAGCTTGCTACTACCGCTCGTTGCTTCGGGGAATTCAAGGAGGAAGGCGGGGTTCGTACTTCTCCTGTTTCTGTTTTGAAAACAATTTAAATAATGCTCATGGATATTATTTCGAATATTTATTTGGGGGCTTGTATGCCCGTGGTTGCCACGTGTGGCTTGAATATTTGTAATTATGTTTCCGCTGCTTAATTAAATATTTTACGTTATGATTGTTTATGGATGTACTATGTGTGAATGGTATTCAAGACGCCTAGTATAGTATGGATGAGTTGGACTGCGGTTGACTATTCGTACTGTACGGCGGGTTGTTGACGTGTCCGGTAGGTCCGGGGCGTGACATTTGGACCTCGATCTTAGCCCAGTTTTGCAACCCATCCGTGAATGCAAAGAAAGCTTCCTTGTCGGGATAATCCGGGATGTCTAGGAGTACCTCGGTAAACTCCTTCACATACTCGCGCACGCTTCCCTTGTGTTGCAAACGCCTTAGCTTTGCTCTCGCCTCCTCTTCCGCATTCATAGGGCAAAACTGCTTCTTGAGTTCACCCTTGAACTCTTCCCACGTGTTAATAGTACAAAGACCCTTCTCCCGGTCTCCGTACTTCCTTCTCCACCACAACATTGCGGTATCCTCTAAATACATGGTGGTCGTGTCAATCTTCTTGGCATCATCCCCGATACCAAGAGCCTTGAAGTATTGTTCCATACTCCACACAAAGTTCTCTATCTCCTTCGCATTCCTAGCACCCTTGTACGCCTTGGGCCTAGGCACATCTACTTTGGAAGGAGTAGGACTTACCTCACTAGACGATGTGCTTCCTCCTTGCCCCACCGCCTTCTTGCACAGGGCCAGCTCTTCCTTGGTCTCCACCAACTCCTTGGTGACCTTCTCCAACTCTTCCCGCAATGAAGCAACCATGGTCATTAGAGCCCCTTCCACGCCCTTGACCTCGGAAAGACACCGGTCGAGGATCTCATTGACCGCTCCTTGCACCTCTCCCCAAAGCTCGTCGCCACTCTTGGCAAGCTCCCCGATGCGTTGGTCACATTCCTCAAACCTTTCTTCCCCATCGGCTATGGCAAGCTCCACCTTTGCCAACCGAGTCTCCATTTCGGTCACGGCTTCCCTGGACTTCGACCTTCCTCTCTTGGTTTGCTTCCCGGGCTCCATGTGAGTTGTCTCATTATCCGAACCGGCCATCTCCCTTGGACACGAAACCAACCTTGCTCAACGGACCCTTGTCGAACTTTTGTCGAACCTGGCTCTGATACCAACTGTCATGGACTTATTCTCAAGACCCGTGCAGCACTAGCACACTCACTCAAACTATGCTAGTCAGCCTAACTTCTAAGGACACCGATTATGGAGAAACGTGTACAATGCTTTATTGCTCTCAAATGCTTGATTACTCGATGGTTGGATGATTACAAATGAGCCAACCTTGAGGGGTATTTATACTTGGACTCCTCCTCAATGGACGACTTAGATCTATTTGATCTAACGGCTACAATTCATCTCTATACTACTCTACAATATTCTAGAGTATTCCACTATACTCTATACAAGTATACTTCTATCTACATGAGTCTAGAATATTCTATAAGCCTCCGGAAATCTGCCCCTTCCTCTTAGGCATCTCTAGACTCCAGCTTGTCCTTTGCCCCCACTATGCTGCGGCGTAACCCTGCCATTGTAACACTCCTTAAATATAAGAAAAAGATTTTAATATAACATGTTATACATGTTAATAGGTACTTGTGATTTTT